AAAAACCGGAATTCTCCTTTAAGAGTTGCTGCACTCTTGATTTATTCATTTAATTCATTTAATTGAATTGATAAATTCCTTTAATTGAATTTAATTGATTCCATATGTATTTATCAAGTCTTTATTTCTGTATTTGTGTTTAATCATGTCAGAGCCGGTCCTCCATTCAAACCCTGAGCACCAAAAACAAATTGAGCTAAAGTAGCTAAAGCCTGAGTTTAAAATGTATTTATGTGCAAAACCATTTAATATAGTAATGAATTGTTTGAGTGCTCAATGAGTAATTGTTTTGTATATTTTTAATTAGGATTAATCATGTAGATGACTATATTAATGTAATGAATGTTTATAGTATTAATTATGAGCTAAGCATTGTCAATTATGTTCATATTTTCCATTCGTTGGGCGGCGAGCTAGAAGTAGTTATGCTTTAGCCCAGAAAGAAGCCAACTGTAACGCCCATCAGTGCAGCAGGAGGCGCTGCAGCTTGCTCCACCCCACCCCCACCCACCCACACTCATACATATATCAACATTATATTGATCACTTCTCACAACCAAACTTGGGACATTTAAACAGCCTTTTGGGGTTATCTGAAGTGCAGACTGCAAACCAATCATGGATTTGTTCATGAAAAAGAATAAACTGACTTCTCTGTCCTTATTTTGTACAACTGTAAATTTGTTAACAAGAAATAAACAATTTAATGTGTTGCGTCTAATGAAGCCCACATTGAACATTCACCCAGAGCTGAACTCAGACCTTCTGATTATAGCTTTATTTGGTATCCTGCATTTACCCACATATTCTCCATGCCTCTGGTTTCACTTTCAAGCTTTAGGTTAGCAGCTAACTTAACAACACTGATGGAATTTATTTCTCATTTTTAAAAACTAATTTTAGCTAATGCGAAACAGTAGGGGTGTCCTAATACGACTTTTTCCTTTGGATATGGATATTGTTTTGCATTACTTAATTTGCTGTGTTAGATTTTAGAAAATAATCACATTAATTCCGTGTGAAAATTAATGACATTACTCAGAGAACAACAGCTATTAACGGGTATGAAAACATCCCTACTGAAAGTGTCAGAAACATTGAAACCCCTACAGAGCAGATAATTACTGATGGTGTTTCTGGGTTTATCTTTTTTTCCTAAAGCAGAAAAAACTGTGAATAAAATCTTCTGTTTTCTCAGAATAATTTCAGCTTTAACTAAATAACAGGAACACTGCAAAAAGGACCTAGTAGTAGACATTTCTTAAATTAAGTGTGTTTACCCTGTTGACTGGACCGGACCAGGCATTCGAACCGAGCCATCAGCTCCGGGTTTGGTCGCTCCGTTCCCAGACTAGCCCCAGAGCTGATGCCTGCTGGAAGATTTCGATTGTAATTCAGTGTAATTCAGCCCAAAAGATCCATTCTGACTGACCATTAAAAACATGTTACTGTAACTCTACATAAACAGACTCTACTCTGCAAACAAACCTTTGACTTTGAGCAGAACTGTTGTCCACCCCAGCAGGTCCCCATCCCTCCAGACTCCACATCTGTAACTCTCGTCTCCTTCATCTAGGGTCTTCTTCAGAGTCAGACTGATGTCTCCGGTTTGTAGCAGGTCTTTGCTCATCTCCGATTGGATTCTGAAGAACCTGGCATGTCCATAGGTTCGACCAAAACCATTTTGATAACAATAAAGCTTTATTTTTGGGGCAGGTTCATAGCGCCACCACTCAACTTGGGAATCTTCAAGAAGTTCTGGGGACACCTTAAATGGTAGCAGGACAGACTCCGCCCCTTTCTCCACCTCCAGGTGACAGTCTGGGAAATCAACAAAGAGGAAGCAGATCTTCATCATTTAGTTTAAAACCATTGACAGATTTTCAGAGGCTCTAAGACTAAACTTTATTTATCCATTATTATTGATGCATTATAGGATGGGACTCTGGATGCATCCTTAGTTCCTCCCTCTGAACAAAATTGACTTACCTTATTAATGGCCCATCATTTAAACGCAATAATAATAAAGAGATTATAATTAAAATGCAGTAATTAAATATAATTTATTGGAAAAAAATACTCTTATTAATTTTATAGCTATGCTGCTATAGGCTTAGACTGCTGGAGGACATAGGGACCCCTTTTCATCATTCTGCTTCATTCTATCTCTATTCTCCCAGTGGGCCTCAGCAGATGGCCGCTCACACTGAGCCTGGTTCTGCTGGAGGTTTCTTCCTGTTCAAAGGGAGTTTTTCCTCTCCACTATCGCTAGAAACATGCAAGGGATTGCTGAATAGTTAGAAACAAAATGCAAAATTACATAAACGTTTACTCAATCTGACCGCGTTGTCTCTGTAAAGTACCTTCATTTTCAGTTCATTTCTTTTCTATGGTTTACATTCCAGGAAAAAAGACCAATATTATTATATGAACATTCTAGAAGAAAGAGTCGCTTTAAAAGACCAAGATGACAATGAAGGGACCATGCAGGACAATGTGTCCTTTCTAGTTCAGTAATGATCTAGAATGGATCAGACATAGCTGGACTGTGCCTATGGTTTGGGAGATGTTTGGTTCAGTCTTGTCCCTGAGGTCCATTTTACAAAGCAGTGTCAACAAATTCAGAGTCCAACTCAGGAACCTGACTTGATCTAACCTGAGGAGGGAAACTTTGGTTTCAGAACAGCTGATCTGATTTAGCTTCACAAACCCTGTAGGATCAGGTGAAGTGATGCACATGGTTGAGCATTCACCAAATAAACTTTAGTTGTCGTCTCATATCTGGACAACTCAAAAGTTGAGTAAATGCTTTTTGTGACGTGGAAAACTCATTAACCTGCTTCTTGAAACGGATCTCTATGGTTCTGTGTGAGGAAATCTACTTTGGCATTGAGCAGAATATATAACTGAGCTGCTTTTGTCGCTTTTACATGTTTTTATTTGGGGGCTTATCCAGGATGCATTGAATAATTTTCCATTTTAACCAAGAACGAGTCAAGAGAAATAAAAACCTTAAAGGTAGAGATCCTACAATTTCAGTCTGAACTGATTCTGATTAGTCACATTTCTGGAATAGACACCAACAGATGTGAACCACTGACCTCTGACATGAAGCTGAACCTGCTTCTTCATCAGAACGTCTCCCCCTCCGCTGTTGATGGTGCAGGTGTAGACATTACTGTCTTTATACGTGAGATGTTTCAGGGTCAGACTGAGGTCTCCGGTTTGTAAAAAGTCTCCATTTATTGCTGTTCTGTCTCTGTATATCTGGTCCTGATTTTTGAGGACGTCTGAACCATCCTGCAACATGTGGACCAGCCTGTTATTACTGTCCCTCCACTGAACCGTAGAATCTAGCAGCTGGACTGTGGTTTCACAGGGTAGACGGACAGCATCTGACCCTGAATCCACCTCCACCTGTTGGACTGAGAGGACAACAAAGACAAAAAGGACACTTAAATCATCTAAAATGTTCAGCCATGTTGATAGGTGGTGGCGGCCATCTTAGGGCAACATTTTACAGCTCTCAGCTGTAGCTGAGCGCCGCCTCGTAGCCGGGCGTCCTGATGTAATCTGAGCTAACTCTGTTTGCTACACGCTGCTGTATTTTAATACCTTTCAGATTCATTTTTCACTGTAAAATCCATCAGGGATTTATTCACATTTATCTGCTGCTATTCTAAAGGATACTTTAAATGCATTGAGCATTAAAACTTGAACATTCCTCAGAGACTCTTAAACCACTTTTTCATTATTTTTATCAGCTTTTTATTTACTTGTTCTTGTTAGTAGTGATTACTGTTTGCATAGTTATTAGATATAATAATACTAAAATAGGGATTATTAGTTAATAAAGGCACCAATGTTTGGTTATTTGTGGTTATTTATGCAGTCAATGATTAATCACTCAGGTTAGATCCGTCCTCCTTTTGGTTAACATTTGAAGAAACTATTTATTTGGTTGATGACTAATAACTCTGCTGATAGCCATAGTCTAAATGACTAAATTGGGTGAAAGACAGCTGGATTTTTAACAGCAGATCATAATAACCTATTAATGAACTATAACTCGCAGTTCTAGTTATTAAATATATTCATAATCTTCAGGTAAAATTGAACAAAATTCATTAATGAATGAATTGAATAATTAATCAAAAGGTCTATAAATCTGAAAAAATCTAATCTGCGCTATGTTGATGTGTGTAGTTTCATAAACAAGTTGCAATGTGATTATGTAGACGTATTTTAGGTTTTTTTCACTCATTAATCCTACTGTCGCCACATTTCCAAAATACTAAAGGATATCAGCAGTGTTCCTAAGGGAAACTCTGCTGCTGTGATGTCATAACACCACAACCAACTGAGGCTTTGGGGGAGCAAGAAGGTCTCCAAACAGAGAAGAAGAATGTTCATATGACACATTATGGAAAGGAAACTGAAACATTTCTCCTCCTACTACTAATAAGTATTTATTACTGATCAGACTAATGATCAGATTGAGTCCACTGACCTTTGACCTGGAGCTGAACCTGTTTCTTCACCAGAACTCGTCTCTTCCTGCTGTAGACGGTGCAGGTGTAGGTGTCTGAGTCTGC